CACCCTAATAAATTTATCTGGGGTCAGAGAACAGCCACTAGACAGACATAGAGGCCAGAAAATGGTGGCACTCACACCTTTAATCCTAGCCTTCTGGAGGCAGAGATCCATCTGGATCTCTGTGAGTTCAAAGCCACACTGGAAACAGCCAGGCATGGTAATAAGAACCTTTAATCCCAGGAAGTGATGGCAGAAAACAGAGAGGTATAAAAGGCGTGAAAACCAGGAATTGGCTGGTTAAGCTTTTAGGCTTTTGAGCAACAGTTCAGCTGAGATTCATTCTGTATGAGGACTCCAGTCTGAGGAAACAGGATCAGCTGAGGAACTGGCGAGATGAGGAAGCTGTGGCTTGTTCTGCTTCTCTGATCTTTCAGCGTTCACCCCAATAACTGGCCTTGGGTTTGTTCTTATTAATAAGACCATTTAAGATTCGTGCTACACTCCACTCTGAGTATATGCCCTAGAGTGGTGAAGGTATATATACATACAAACAGTTACTTGTACACATATTTGTAGCAACATTTTTTTTTTGCAGTAGTCAACAAAGTAATTGCCCATCAAGAGATAAATGTATAAACAAATAGTTGTATCTCCATGTAATGGAATGTTATTTAACCTTAAGAAATGAATGAGGTGTTCACATATATTCCAGTATGAATGGGCCTTTTAAGAAAGTCAAACCGCTCCCATGCAATGTAAAACAAGTGGGTACAGCCCAGAGATGGAAGGTGTATTTGTGGTTGCTGGGGGCTAGGGGGAGAGGGGATGAAGTAGTACAATGATTGTTTAATGGGTGCAGGGTTTTTTCGGGGGGGGGGGGTGTTGTTAAAGCTAGTGAACCATGTCTTACATGAATTTCAGTTCAACTTAAAGAATCCAACTGTACACTCTTATCTGTAAAGCATGATAAAGAGCAAAGCCAGAGTCCTCTACAGTGACCTTTGGGCCCTCTAGCCTTGTCTTTGGCCACGCCCATATTCTTTTAATAATTGTTCCGAACATGTTGAATCCTATTGCAACCATATGTTGCAACCAACAGGCTGTATGTTTCTGTCTCCCAACTCACCTGTGCCCCGCAGGAGACCCCTGCCGGCAGTTCCCACCCATGGTCTTCTCTCAATAACTATTCCTGTGACCTTTAACTGACACCCTCACTGCTGAAACGGTGGTCCCTCAACCCACAGAGCTCATGTATGCCATGGATTGGAGGTGAAACGCCATGGTTTCAGGCTCATGTGTTGAAAACCTGGTCCTCAAGGGCAGCAATGGTCAGAGGTGGGGCTTTGGGGAAATGATTCCATCATGAGGGCCCTGAGCCATCAATGGATTGACAGATCAATGTGTTCATCAACTGATAGGTAATGGGAACTCGGGAGGTCGGGCCTAATCAAAGAGATCACCAGAGGTATGCCCGTGGTAACTATGTCTTATCCCCAGCCTCTCCCCCCTCTTTCTCTTTGTTTCTTGGCTACTGTGAAGTAAACAGCCTGCTCTACCATGGTACTCCCCTGCCATGATATCCCATCCTGCTTTGCTCCTGGCCCAAAGCAGTGGAGTCAGCCTACCTGGACAGATAGTGCTGAAACTGTGAGCCAAACCCACCATTCAGTCTTTAACATCATCTCTCAGGTATTCTGTCATAGTCACGGGAAGCTGACTGACATAGTGTCTTTTGGATGACAAGCGGAATCTGGAGCTCCTGCCCAGACCCACTGAGTTCGAACCTGTACCTGAAGTGCCTCACACGACGAGCCCGATGCCGTTTGTTTTCTGGTGGCAGCCCCCACACGAAGGGTTTGCCAGAAAGAACTAGTTTCTTCTCCTGCTCCACTGGCCTTTGCTCTCGCCACTGAGTTGATTCATGCTGTTGTTGCTGCGGATTCCTTCACTGATGGCAGAGCGAGTGTTTCCAAGCCTTCATCCTAGGACAGGGACCAGCAGCTAGCTCTCTGGGAACCTTCCAGGTTTCCGGTGCCAGGTTGGGACTACTGAGGCACGGGGCCTTGGAACTGAGAACTACTAGCTGTCGACCCTGTCCCCCAGGGAGAGACAACTATTGTGGGATAACTCTAGTTGTTGAGGCACCCAGCCTCAAGGACTGAGTGAATTACTGGGTTCTCAGCTTCTTGGGTGTTATTTAGCTGTTACAGTTTTAAAGCTGACTTAATAACTTCACACACACACACACACACACACACACACACACACACACACACACACCTTTTTTTGTTGCCGAGACAGGACACCATGACCAAGGCAACTTATAAAAGAAAACATTTAATTTGGCACCTATGACTACAGAGGGTTGGAGCCCATAACCATCAGGGTGAGGGGCATGGCAGCAGGCAGGCAGGCATGGCAATGGAGCAGTAGCTTAGAGCTTATATGTTGAGACAACAACCATAGAGCAGAGAGAGGCACACTGGGGATGGTGTGGGCTTTTAAAAACTCAAAGCCCACCCTACAGTGACACACCTCCTCCAAGGCCACACCTAATTCTTCCCAAACAGTTCCACCAACTGGGGACCAAACATTCAAATATATGAGCCCATGGGGGCCATTCTCATTCAAACCACCACCACCACTGTGTGTGTGCATGTGCGCGCGCGTGTGTGTAGCAGTTTTGAATGCATCTATGTGAGTGTGTATGTATGTATGCATACACCCTCTTTGTTCTATTCCCCTAGAGGACCCTGACTAAAACAAATTGTGGTACTGGGAATGTGGCTGGAGAAACAGAATTGTAAGGCTGAGCTATTGTGATAAATCCACATGAGTCTATTTAATGAGTAGTAGGGATTTATTAAGATATAAATTGAGGAAATACACTCACAAATAAAGAACTGAGTAGACAGCTGAAGTCGTCCTCTGATCTGATCGGGAGCAAATCCACCTCGCAGGGAGGCAGCAGGGAGAAGAGGGCATCTCCCTCTCTTTTTAAGAGGTCGTGTACAATGGCGGGAAGCACCGCCTCCTTCGGGCCCTATAGCCCAACATCATAGGTGGAACAAACACCACTACACTCAGCTCTTCTAGTGGAGTCTCTAGTGGGCTTAGAGACCACTGAACCCGACTTTTCAGATGGACGGAACCTACGGTTACTAAAGACTCCTCAGACAGTATGGAGAGCACTGAAAGTCCATGGTGTGCATGAATTAAAGAACATATCAATTGCATTTGATGATCCTGATGCACCTCTTGTGAGGTGTGTGGAATCTGATGACTCTGTGTATGAAACCTTTGAACATTTCTAGAGAAATAAGGAAAATAACAACGCTGGTTATTTTAGTATTTTCAGACAAATTTATAAAAGGAAAAAAAAAAACTGAGCTGAGTAATAAAATTGACCTGCTCCAGATGCACAGAAACAACCCAATGACTTCTAAGTGTGCCCTGGAGGAGACGCGTCTCTCCTGCAGTGTAGAACTCAAGTTACAGAAAACTGAACCAAATCCTCAGTGCACAGTTAGCTGAGAACCGGGTGTTGTACCCAGAGTCCCCCAAAGACCACCAAGAGACCGAATCCGATGCAAAAGCAACGAGTCTTTTTTACTACGAGTTAACTCGGGACTCATGTCCATCTGACCCAGCAGCAGAGCAGGAGAGACCCCCAGTAGCTAGGGGGCGTCTGGGGTCTATTGGCTATGTAGGAGCAGACTCGGGTTTGAGGTTTTCTCCCATCCAGAGGTGCTGTCCTTGGTCAGTTTGCAGCTGCAAGAAAACTATTATCTCTCTTAGCAGTTGTGGCTACTACATATTTTCTTTATCCTGACCTTGCTGCCTGTACCTTTTGATTGGCATCTTTTACTGTATGAGGACATCTGGTGGGGTTTTCCTGTAACTAGAGCTAGACTCAAGGTTGGGGGCTCAGGGGCACATTGTGCTGTGCCAGGGGCCTACATTCTGTTGGGTATTGTCCACAGTCTGTCATGGCTGCAGAATAGTCAAGGCAGGGGTCCGGACAGGGACTTGGGTTCCTCACCTGGTACGTACTTGGTCCTTGAGGCTGGATGTTTCAACAGTCAGGGTAGTCCCACAATAGCTATCTCTCATGGAAGAGGGGGGACCACAAAAGGCTATCACTCAGTCTACAAGGCAGGGTGTCTCCGGAAGTCTTCATCTGGTGCCTCTGGTTTCTAGTCCACAATGGAAGCCTGGAATGCAGCAGCAACAGCAGCAGCAGCAGCAGCAGCAGCAGCAGCACACAAATTAACTCATTTCCAAGCAGGAAGGCCAAGAGAACAAAAAGCAAGATTATCTTCCTTTCTGACCTCTCTTATAATCTGGATTGCTACCAGAAGGCATCACCTATAATCAGGGCGGGGCCTTCCCACGCCAATCAAGGCAATCAGGAACATTCTTCAGGTGAAGCTCCCTCCTCAGGTGGTTCTAATTTGTGGCAAGTTGACACTAAAACCAACCATAATACCTGGCATGCATGAACCCTGGGTTCCATCTCCACCACCAGATGAACCAGGCCTGGTAGTCTATACCTATAATGCCAGTACTCAGGAGGTGGAGGCAGAGAGAGATCAGAAGTTCAAGGTCATCCTCACCTCCAAAGCTGGTCCAAGGTCACCATGGGCTCCATGAGACCCTGTCTCCCCCCAAAAAAGTGTCATCAGTATTTTTAGAGATCTTTAAGAAACGCAAAATTTCAACCACTTCTTCTTTTAACTCTTGAAGCTTCTGTGGGTGGGGGCTGAGAATCTGAATTTTATTTCTTGAATAGTTATGATATAAGGAGTCTATAGGATAGAGGAATAGGGACCGGAGGAACGACCCCCAGGAGTTTTAAGCCGCTGCTCCTTTTGGTCAGTCTTGAAAGCATCTGACCATGCCCTGTGAGTCCTAGCTCACCACCAAGGTGAAGACTCTAGTCTTTGTGTTCTTCCACAACAGGGCACACTCCACACAACAAGGCTGGTTGACACTGATACTTCAGAAGAGTGTTCATGGCTCATGTGGTGATTTTGTCCATTTTTTCCTTTCTTTTTTAGTTTCATGGAGCAAACACAGAGACTCCTGAGCCAGCCCTCTCCCATCCCCACTTCCCAGCCCAAGAAGAAAAGGATGACAGTGAAATCTTTCTTTTCCAAGGTGAGACACAAATGTCCCTCCCCAGTCATCACTATGTAAGAGGTGAGCCTGCTCGCTCTGTGGTTAGAACTGCTTGGCCTGGGTTCCTTCTGGAAGCCATGTAATGACAGTTCTTTCAACAGGGATAGAGGGTGCTTTTGAGAAGATGAGATGAGAAGGCTTCAGCTTGATGCTAACTCAAAAATTAAAAAAAAAATGAACTGCAATAAATACTCAGAAATAGCAACGATGCTGGAAAGTTATACTGTCTCATCCATAGTGCTGAGCAAACAGCTGGATCTGGACCCTGCATCCATTCCTGCTTCCTAAGGATGGGGGCTAGCTTGCCTTTGATATTCTCTCTCTCTCTCTCTCTCTCTCTCTCTCTCTCTCTCTCTCTCTCTCCAGTGTGAATGCAGGTTCCTGCCATGATGCGCATGTGGAGGTCAGAGGTCAATCTCGGATGTCTGTCTGTCCTCACCTCCCATCTCTTTTGAGACAAGGGCTCTCTTGTTGTTGTCTCTATATAGCAGCCATCATGCACCTCTGGGGATTCTCCCATCTTGCCAAGGGAAACTGGGATTATAGATGAGTGCTATTGTGCCTGGCTTTATATGGGGTTCAATGTTAGGTCTTTATGCTGGCATGGCAAGTGTTTTACCCATCATCTCCCTGGCCCCCTTGTCGGGATCTTTCATCGTCTGGGGTCTGACTCTAGTATGGGCAGCCTTGTTCTCTGTCCCGAAGAACCCTAGTATCTTCTTGTCATTGGAGCTCATCTGCTTAGTAGGGAGGCAGCTCATCCGATTGTGAGGAAGGTGGCCTCTATCTTGATCTATATTCCATCTCATCTATATCTTATCCTGCACTTACTTAGTATTTAGTTGTGGAAGTGTAGGATTCTGCATAAAAGTGCAGTGTTATTTTTGCTTTTTCTTCTTCTAAATTGCTCAGATCCATGAATTCGGAAGTCGGGACAACCTTCAAACCTTCAAGTGTCCTGAAATGCTTATGGATGTGTCATTGATGTCTGTTGAAATGTTGCCAGTTGAGTCGCAGGCTAGTGAGGGTTTGAGGAAGGTGACTCCTGCTGGATGGAGATGTAGGGCCATCAGCCTGACTGCAGGAGTATCAAGACAGATTGGAAGAGAGGAATAAAGCAGACACCATAAAGCATGTCATTCATTTGATTTAGCTAAAGGTACAGCAGAAGGACAAGAAGGGGTTGGAGGAGGAAGAGGGTCAAGGGAACTTCCCAGCGAGGAGAGATAACAGCATAGCATACACTGTAAAAGGGACCTGTGTCTTGAGGACAGCCCCTTTCCTCTTAGCCTCTGTCACACAGTTCACTGCTGTGTGTCTCTTGCCAGAACTCCCCAACCCACCTCAACACCAGCCCTGCATTATTTTCTCCACCAGCGTCTTCGTTATGTAGACAAATGTATTTGTCTACAAAAGTAAATCATCTTTAAAGGTTGGAGTGTAGCTTAGTGGTGAGGTGAGGGCTTAATTCATGCAAAGCCCTGCTTTAATCCTGTCTCTCTCTCTCTCTCTCTCTCTCTCTCTCTCTCTCTCTCTCTCTCTCTCACACACACACACACACACACACACACACACACACACACATGCTTAGACATGTTTAGTTATCTTTTTTTTCTTTAAGAATTTTTTTTACTCATTTTACATACCAACCACAGGTCCCCCTATTATTCCCCCTTCCCACTCCCCCCCCAGACCTTCCTAATGACCATCCCCTCCTCTGAAAGGGTAAGGCCTCCCATGGGAAGTCAGTGAAGCCTGGAACATTCAGCTGAGGCAGGACCAAACCCCTCCCCTGTGCATCAAGGCTTAGCAAGGTGTCCCACTATAGGTAATGGGCTCCAAAAGCCATCTCATGCATCAGGGATAGATCCTGAACCCACTGCCAGGGGCCCCTCAAACAGACCAAGCTACACAACTGTCTTTTGTATGTAGAGGGCCTAGTCTGGTGCCATGCAGACTCCACAGCTGTTGATATAAAGTTCGTGAGTTCCTATGAGCTTGGTTCTGTTGTCTCTGTAGATTTGTCCATCAGAATCTTGACACCCCCACCCCCAACCCTGCTCATGTAATCCCTCTTCCTTCTCTTTGACTGGACTCCCAGAGTTTGGCCTGGTGCTTGGCTGTGGATCTCTGCATCTGCTTCCTTCAGTTACTAGATGAAGGCTCTCTTGGTCTAATTGGAGCTGATGTTCTGAGCCCTTTTGAATCCTCTGTGTGTGTGTGTGTGTGTGTGTGTGTGTGTGTGTGTGTGTGTGTGTGTATGTGTGTTTGTGTGTGTGTGTGCTTGCGTGCGCACGGGGGGGGGGGGCATGCCTGATGTCAACATCAGGTGTCTCCTTCATTGCGGTCCACTCTTGCTGGATCGGAGCTCACTGATTTGGCTAGGCTGCCTGGCCAGTGAACTTGAGAGTTCTTTCTTTGTCTGTCTTTCCAGTCCTGAGACTGTAGGCATGCACTGCTGCACCCAGAATTTTATGTGGGTGCTCAGATCTTCCTGTTTGTCGAGCAAGCACTTTACCAACAGAACCATCTTCCCTGAATTAATACACTTTTGACCCACCACCCAGGTCTCTTGGAAACTGAGGTTGCAGAAGCGGGAGCCTTTGAAGAATGCGTTTTTCATCTTGGCAGAAAAAGCCCGGGATCCTAATGCTAAAAAGCGCCATCTGGCAATGAGATGCCTGGGCACCATGGCCTGTGAAGCCCCTGACAAGGTAGGGGGAGGTGGAGTTGTGACAGCCTTCCCGAGAGACTCTAAGCCCTCAGGGCATGGAGTCCCCAGTGCCCGTGGACAGCTAACACTGTAACAAGTCACACAGACCTAGTAGCAAACAGTGGTATCTGTGTTCCGGGGCCTGATTGTAGAGCTGGATCCGTAGTTCAGCATCTTGCAAGGCGGCAAACCACTGCTGGCTAGACTGTCTTCCTGAGGTTCAGGGCACTTTTCCAAGAGTGGCTTTTTGCAGAACTTACTCTTCCAAGGGTAGGACTGAGGTTTCTCTTTCCTTGCTGGCTGTCTGCCGGGGGCCACCCCCTGGTACCCAGGATCCACACTCTCAAAACCTGATAACCTGTTTCTTCAAGGTGTCTCTCACTCCTGTCTGCTCTACTGGAGTCTTATATAATGTAACTTAGCAACCAGGAGAGACCGCTGTACTTTTGTCATATCTGGCTAGAAGCAAGCCACTGGTTCTTTTTACACGGGCGAAGAACAGATTATACAAGGGTGTGACTCACTCAAGGTCATCGCGGGCCCAGCATGCCCCAGCTCTGTCAGCCTTGGGAATGAAGCTACAGCAGGTTCATATCACTCTCTTGGAGAGTTTAAACGATTTTTCTCATAATTTTTGCTTGTTTCGTGAGAGACATTTTCATACCCCATCCTTAGCACCTTGTCCACGTCGATACCATTTTATGTCCTCTCCATTATCAAGTCACCCAGCTCTCTGAAGGGCCCTGGGACACTCCTGTCTACCCTCTGCTCTTGAAGTACCTCCCCAGTTTCATCACCCAGAGGCCTAATTCCTGTTTGTCCTTGCTGTTCTTCTAAGACCTAGGAGGGCTCTTGGGCTGGGTTACTAGAAACATTTGTATTTGGATAAGAGTTGGTGGCAGATCCAGAAGAAAGTGTGTGTGCATGCACGCGCATGCGTGTAGCATATATATTATACATTTTATTATATTTGTACATGTGGATGACACGAACAGGAAGGACGATTTGTAAGGAAGAAGGAGAGCAGCAGAAGGAGGGGGGAGGGAGGGGGAGGGTAGCAGGGGATGAACATGAGCAAACTACAGTGATGTATATGTCAAAAAGCCATAATGAAACCCATTATTTTTTTTTTTTTTGGTTTTTCGAGACAGGGTTTCTCTGTGTAGCTTTGCGCCTTTCCTGGAACTCGCTTTGGAGACCAGGCTGGCCTCGAACTCACAGAGATCCGCCTGGTTCTGCCTCCCGAGTGCTGGGATTAAAGGCGTGCGCCACCACCGCCCGGCTGAAACCCATTATTTTTTAACATTAACTACAAATATTAATTTAAAGAAGAAAAGAAAGCAAGCCAGGGCCTCTCAGTCCCAACTTGTGGCTACTGGAAAATTGGGGATGGAGTTGCTTTTCAACTTGAATAGAGTGTGTGTGTGTGTGTGTGAATGTGTGTGATGCTAATGCTTTTCCAACCTTGATAGCAGGTGAGAAAGTACAAGAAAGTTTTCCTTGACCTCCTGGTGCATGGGCTGTACGATCCTGTGAGTTCTGAAGTTATCCATGAGAGTGTGAAGACTCTGACCATCATGCTGGGCAAGATCCAGGGCCAAGGCCTGGGCTCCTTCTTCATAGACATCACCCTTCAGACCAGGACTTTATTGGATGATGTAAGTGAGAAGGGTAAGCATAAAATTTTGGGCTGTGAACTTGTCCTGGTTTAGAAATGAGAATCCCAGGCCGAGCTGTATGGTGGTGGTACATGCATGCCTCTAACACCAGCAGAGGCAGAAGCAAGCTCAGCAGAGGCAGAGGCAAGCCCAGCAGAGGCAGAGGCAAGCCCAGCAGAGGCAGAGGCAGGCTGATCTCTATGAGTTCAAGGCCAGTCTGGTCTGCATAGTGAGTTCCAGGACAGCCAGGACTACATAAAGAGACCCTGTCTCAAAAAAACAAAAACAAAAAGGAATGAGAATCCTGGGTAGTGTGTTTCTCAGGAACAAGGTCTGCACCACTCTCTAGTTCATGAATTAATGTTATTGAGAGGAGTTACGGGTGGGGGTTATGGAGACCAGAAAGGCTGTATAGAATCCTATCACTCCCTCTCGAGGAGTTTCCATGTCAATAGGGAAGTGAGCATGCACACTAGTGATGAAGATGCCAGCTGGTGCTCAGTACTTCCTTCTGTGTAACAAGTCAGCATTTAGTGAGCCCTTCCGGTGTGCCCTTCACAGTGCCAGGCAGTTGCCATGGATACTTATGCAGTCCTTACATCAACCCTCTTCGATGGGTGCTACAGTGGTCTTTATTATAAAACGAAGAAACTGAGGCATAGAAAGATTAGGGCCTGCCCACAGTTCACAGAGCCAGCATGCATCCCGAAAGCAGCCCTCTGACTGCAGCCCCTGCCCTGTCAGCCACAAGACAAAATGCGTCAACCAAGAAGTGCTCAGGTGCAATGTGTAATCTCGAAGTGAGGACTCTTCCATAACTGACTTGCAAGTTGACAATCAGGCCTGCCGCTGTCTCTTTACCGAAGACAGCACCTGTCAGTCATACTCCAGACCTTTATTCATACATAACCCAGAGCAACTTCCACCTGCCCCTCCCATCCTAACTCCCCCTGGAGCCACACAGTGGCTGAACAAAGAGAAAAGGAGAGACATTGAGCTTACAGAGTTCAGAACTTACATCAGGGCTGCTGGCATGCTTGTCAGAGCTCATCCTTATCCACAGGGACAGATGTTAATATTTCAGTGGAGGTGGCCCTTGTTGGCCTGGAACCCAGTAGATAGCCCAGACTGGCCTTGATGTCACGGCCATCCTCCTGCCTCAGGTCCCGAGTGCTGAGATTACAGACATGAGCCACTACCCCGGCCTAGATGTTTGCCGTTGAATGCAAACCTGTCTTGTCTAAGAAGAGGGTGAGAAGGTGTTTACATTACCACCCTAGGATGTCAGCATACATCTTGAGGACATATCCTTAAATCCTTCTGGTGCCGTCTGAACTTCAGTTGATTTTTATTCAACTGCTTTTGAAACCCAGTTTACATGTCATTTTCTTGAGCAGAATCCTTGGCCATGTAGAAAAGGAAATCCCCACACAGCACTGCCTACTGGCCGAGTCTATGTAAGGGTTACACTTTAAATATGGCCTGCTTCATGCCATGTTTGTTGGGACATGTACCCCCACCAGATGATCGCCACACTGTCAGGAGACAGTCACCTGGCTTATGCATTCCGGTACATAGGCCTCAGGGGAGGGTTGACTTGGGGCAAGTTCTCACTCAATTTTATTTAAACATACTTACACCCTGGACAGAGCAATAAACAGAATGCCACCCCAAGGCAATTTACATGAGTCACTTATGCTAAAATGTGTTTTTGAGTAATTCACAAAATGATCAGTGCTGTCTCAGTCTTTGTGACCCAATTCTAGATGCTTTTTTCCCTTTGGAGAGGCCCACACCCTCTTCTCTCTGGTTTCCCTGGAGCCTGGACAGGACCATGAAGTGGGGATATAAAAATCTGTGTACCAGCAGGGTTGTGGTGGCGCAAGCCTTTAATCGCAGCACTAAGGAAGGCAGAGGCAGGTAGATCTCTGTGAGTTCGAGGCCAGCCTGGTCTAGAGAGCAAAGTTCCAGGACAGCCAGGACTGTTACACAGAGAAACCTTGTCTGGAAAAACCAAAACCAAATCAAAACAAACAAAACAAAACAAAAATCTGTGTACCAAAGTCAGGAGATATGGCTAAAACATAATGTTCACTTCTAATGGGCAGCTCAGAATGATGGTTGGGATCTGCTCTGATGGAGATCTGATGATGGTGATCTGGCTTTTTGTTTTTTTGTTTTGTTTTTGTTGATGGAAACCCACAGGAGAATGACAGTGTGCGGTACTCGGCCTTTGTTCTGTTTGGGCAACTGGCTGCATTTGCTGGGAGGAAATGGAAGAAATTTTTCACCCACCAGGTTAACCAGACACAAGATTCCCTCCTGATCCATTTACAGGACAAAAGCCCTCAGGTTGCCAAGGTGAGACAGTCATTCTTGACTCACTTTGTGAATCTCTGCTGTCCCCAGAGGGGGTGAGGGCAGCTCCGCTAATTGGAGAAGTCAGGCCCTGGAGTTCCTGCCAGTTAGAATGGCCTGTAGGGTGTCTATGTAAAGCTGGGCAAAGGGGCCTCCAGGGTACGATCTCCCCCATTTCCCCTTTGACCCGTCTCTGCCCAACCCAACACCTGCCAGTGCCAGCTAGATAGGTGAGGCCAGGCCCCCAAAGGATGATGGGACTGGGAGAGGTGCAAAGAGTTCTACAAAATCACTTTGGGGGACGGGAGGAAGAGAGACTGTGGATGAGTGTAACTGCGAGAAGGGCTGCGTACAAGGCAGAGCTGTGCCCTCTCCACAGGCCACAGACTGAGCCACGGCCACTTCATGAGCAGAAATCCTTCAAGTTTCAAGCTCACAAATGACCTGAAAATTACTTTCCCAGCCTCGGTGGCTCTGACCTTAGGTTGTCTACAGTCCTTTGGGATCACCTTCCATGCCCGGCATTCTAGGATTCTCTAGTAGTTTAGCCAATTGGATGGCAATGTTATTTTCCTCAGGCTTGCAAAACGACTGTTCGAGCCTGTGTTCCGTATCTGAAACTCAGGAAGGAGCAGAGTTTCCAAAGTGAAGAAGATCAGAGGAACCCCAGGCTTTCCCGGCAGCTGGTGAGTGAGCCAGGGCAGGAGAGAATTCTCCTGGGAGTCCCTCACCTTCAGGCACTTAACACTGGAAGTGGACCCAGTGCAGCAGGAAGTTACCTCCTCCTACCTCCTAAAGTACCTTAGGCTAGTATTGCAATTGCAGTGGACTCATAAGGCGATGTAAACCACAAGGTTCCTGGAAGATGATGCACAGAATTATCATTGGCTCAGTTCTCACCATTGGCTGCTTCCACTCCTGCCTTTTCTCCCCGTGTCCTGTATGGCAACCTCCCTCACATGTACCTTTTTTAAATTTCTTCCAGAGCCATTATCATCCTGAGGTCCTGCTGTTCTTCTATGCCAATAAGATCCTATAAGTCCAGAGCGGCAGAGAAAATGGCCCCATGTGAGCGCCCTGCTCCGGGCATCCTGTTCCCTCTGCTCTGTCTCATTGGGTACTTCTTTGACTCTCTTCACGTGAATATAACAGAAAAGAAGATGTAAGAGAACAACTGGGGGGCGGGGATAACCCTGGAAGAGTATCTCTGCACCCAAAGTAAAATGCAACATTACTTTCATGGATCTCATCTCTTCTCTATATAAACAAATTTGTTGAGAGGTACACACTTCCTTTTCTAAATAGTGTGCGTGCACATATATGCACATTATTGTGGAGGTCAGAGGACAACCTCAAATACTGTTCCTCAGGCACCGTTCACCTTTCCATTGTAACAGGGTCCTTTAACTTGCTGGGGCTTGTAGATTAGGCTAGGCTTGATGGCTGGTGAGTCCCTCAGGATCTGTCTCCTCCACTGAGCACTGGGATTATAACTATACTCCAGTGAACCCAGCTTTTTTTTTTTAAAAAAATTCTTCTCTCATATCTTATATCACTCATATATTATTTCTCGACCATAGTTAAAAAATTCTTCTCTCATATCTTATATCACTCATTTATTATTTCTCGACCATAGTTTACCCTCCATCCATTCCTCCCAGTCCCTTCCCCACCTCCTCTCCTCCCCAGGTCCACTATTCCTCCATTTTCTGCAAGAGCGAGAGTGAAGTCCTCCCAGGGATAACCACCAAACATGGCTTAACAAGTTACAATAAGACTAGGCACAAACCCTCATATCAAGGCTGGATGATGCAACCCAGTCAGAGGGAAAGGGTCCCCCAAGAGCCACGGGGTCAAGGACACTATGAGAACACAGCCCACAGCATCAACTAAACAGGGCTCATCGGGGCTCACGAAGACTGAAGCGGTGATCATGGAGCCTACATGGGTCTGAGCTAGGCCCTCTGCATATATGTGATGGTTGTGTAGCTTGGTCTTCTTGTGGGACTCTCAACAGTGGGAATGAGGGGCGTGGGTGTCTCTGTCTCTTTCCCCAGCTTTTATTGTGTTTGTTTTTTTTTTGTTGTTGTTGTTGTTGTTTTTTTTTTTTTTTTGGTTTTTCGAGACAGGGTTTCTCTGTGTAGCTTTGCGCCTTTCCTGGAACTCGCTTGGTAGCCCAGGCTGGCCTCGAACTCACAGAGATCTGCCTGGCTCTGCCTCCCGAGTGCTGGGATTAAAGGCGTGCGCCACCACCGCCCGGCATGTTTGTTTGTTTTTAACATGGGTTCTGGGGCCAAATTCAGGCCCTTGTACTGACTTTCAGCAACTGAGCCATCTCCCCAGCCCGATGGATGCACACTTCCTTAAAGGCATTTAGTATGCATGATGTTCCGAAGCACCTGTCTCAGTTCTTCTCTGTCAGGTGACATACATTTCTAATATGTAGCTTCTGAGGCTTGGGAGAATAATTGTTACCATAAACATTTTAAAATGTATTTGTTTTTGATGGTTTGCTATTTGCTATTGACATCTTTTCTTGTCAAGATACCAAGAAGGTGGTTTGCAAAGTATCTTCAATTTCTCATGATCTTAAAATGTCATTGTCTTAAAGGTCATCTTTAAAAGGACTGACAATGAAAAGAAATATTGCTGAAAATCTGCAGGATGATGATAACTTACAGAATAAAAACAGTAACATTTACTGAGAGTGCTTACAACATATTGGGTACTGTGGTGGTTTGAATGAAAATGGCCCCATAGGTTCATATATTTGAATGCTTGGCTCCCAGTTAGTTGGACTGTTTGGAAAGGATTGGATGGTGTGTCTTTGTTGGAGGAGGTGTATCACTGAAGGTGGACTTTGAGATTTCAAAAGCCCACGCCAAGACCTGTGTCTCTCTCTCTGCCTACTGCCTATGGATCACAATGTGAAGCTCCCAGCTGCTGCTCCAGCACCAAGCCTGTCTACTTCCTGTTAGGATGATCATGGACTAACCCTCTAAAACTGTAAGCAAGCCCTCAATTAAATGCTTCTTTTTATAAGAGTTGCCTTGGTTATGATGTCTCTGCAGGGCAACAGAATAGTAACTAACATAGGCAATAATAACTTTTTGAAAGTGTTATTAATGCAACAACTGTATGCAATAGGTGTTATTATTTATTTATTGGGAGTGAGCACATACCACAGTGTGTGTGTGTGTGTGTGTGTGTGTGTGTGTGTGTGTGTGTGTGTGTGTGTGTGTAGGTCAGAGGACAACTTGAAGGAGTCAGTTCTCTCTTTTCACCATGTGGATATTCTCTCTTTCCACCATGTGGGTTCCAGGAATCGAACTCAGGTGGTCAAACTTGGCAGCAAGCACCTCTATGTGCTGAGCCATCTCACTGGCCCCGAGATGGGTGCCATTATGGTTGTCATTTCATGGATGCGCAAACTGCGGAAATTAACTCGCCCAAGATAAATAGTAGGCCTAGAACTTAGGTCCATGTGGCCTGATTTCTGGAACTGAAGCTCAGTGACTGTGCCTGGACTCATTGGTGGGTGGTCGGACATGAGAAAAACAAACAGTGGACACCACTACCCGCTTCCACTCTTTCACTCAACCCAGATAACTTTTACTCTCGTCCACACATACCAAGACTTTACCATGAGGGGTCATTTCTAAAGCTTGCCTGCTGCCAAAAGGCTGGCTTTAAGCAGTTCAGAGAGACTGGAGAGGAGATAGGAACCAGGCAAGCCACTGGACAGATGCACAGACACACACAGGAACTTTGTCTGAGGGCCGAAGCTCAATGCCTCATTTTATTTTTCTCTCTCTCTGCTGGTTGTTCTTTTTACTCTATTTTTTCTCTGTGTTACTTTTAACCTGTTGTTTTTCTTTTATCCCCCCCCCCCCCGCCCCCGTTGTTCTCTTTGTACATCTTTTTGATGTTATCCTTTTAACTCTTCTCTGGTGTCTTCCTTCTATTTCTTCCCTGATGGTTCCCTTCGATTATTTTTTCCCAGATGGTTTTCTCCTACATCTTTCCTTCTCCTTCTGTCTCTTATTTTTTTTTTTTTTTTTTTTGGCTTATCCACGTTATACCTCCTAATACAAAGACTTCCATGCAAGAACAGATTACCTCACAGCCACAGGTTACATAGTCTCCAAAACAAAGCAAAAATCTTTACACGGAAGTCACATTAAGGTCAAAAGTCACAAGTTCTTCTTACAAGTCCACAAGTAGTTAAATATTTTTCTTTATCACAAAGCAAATATATGATTCTTTTATAATTGATTAACAAAGTTTTAAGCAAGCCAAGTCTATTTCAGCCGGGGTGGGTTTTTTTTGCTTGTTTGTTTTTTTGGTACCGGCAGGCAGCTGTTGCGGTTTCAGTGTAGGAGATTTCTATTCTTAATTCTACTCTAGAGAAACTTTAATCGAGGGCTCAGTTCACCATCTATTTTCCTTTGCACACAATAAGGTCGTTTAATTTCCTTTTACAACTTTGTTTCCTCAAGGTGCATGCCGGGGGGCCTGTGATTAATTCTGTAAGTCACATGACCAAGGAACTAGGCCTAACCTGGGGTGTAGGGACATGATTGTTGTCTTTAGTCATCGGCCTGTTTTTCACAGGCAGAATTCATGAGTCTATAATGAATGAAACTTCCTTGTTCTGATTTTCTATCCTCTGCAAATCTCATATCTAACAAAGAGGAAGGTGACTTTAAGCCTATATTTGCCTTTTTTTTTTTTTTAAATTTATATCTCTTAGTGGAGCAATTGGCAGAATAAGAACAACCTAAATCATGTCCCCATTCATCTTTACTAACTGTCCTCACCACCTGTGTCTTTTGGGCTACCTCAGAAAGTCCAATTAAATTATAGATCTAATTAATCATCACTGCTCTTATAAAAATCAACTTCATTATGATCTGCAAGTAAATTCCCCAATGAGGAGTGGGATGTTCCCAGGAAACAATCACACTGTAATAGAGAGAGTAGGATCCTTTCCTGTAGTAATCATACCGTGCCAAGTACAGCGGGAACAGGACAGCAGCAAGCAGGAGGAATTCCTGCCCAGCAGAAGCCAGGGGCATTCTGGGAACAATCCTCCCAAGGCTTTGCCTCTCCAGGATGCACCCAGAGTAGCTTTGTTATCCTCTGAGCTGTATAAGCTCCACTGCTGACGGGAGTTCCTCTGACACGGCCACCGGCATTCGCCTATACGTCCATTCCCAATCTACATTTAATTATTTGAACTAAGTACATACTCTTATTAATCACTTACTGACTGATGTGCTCATGTTTTGGTGACCCATCCTCACTATCTGAAGGGTCTTATCACTCTTATAAAAAGTTGCATCCAGGCCCAGTACTGTGCCTACTTCTAGCCCTGGCTATTTGGGAGAATGAAGTGGGAAGATCACTGAATGGCATGAGTTCAAGACTGGCGTGGGTAGCCTATTGTCTCCATCTCAAAACAATTTTTTTCAAGAATGAATTGCTTAGTCCCTCTTTCCTTACCAGCCAGCTTGCTCCCCAGGCTTCCCTCCTCACAGTTCTGAGGCCCTCACTGTGCACGGTCACCCCGGGAACAGTCTGTTCAGTCTGGGAACTGGAGAGGTCAACAAGGGTAGAGAAGACAAGAGGTTATCAAAATATGGAGGGGTCTGAAGAGCCATTCTCAGAACTGGGGGATCAGTTTCTGCGCTGTCCTCAAGAAATGTAGAGGAGAGGGTGTTTAGGAGTGTCCCAGGAGAGGAAGGAGGCAGAGATGGCAGAAGTGATAGCAGATACCGAGAAACAGCAGGGCCTCCTCCTTCCAGTCCTGTAGCTGGTGACAGCAGGAGCTGTAAGGAGTGACTTACACTGAATAGCAGGTGCCGTGGATCTGGAATCATGAGCTCTCTTCTTCCTCAGATACGGGATTGCCAAACTAGACTGCCAGATAGGTTTCGAATCTGATGCAGATCTGTTTGATGATCCTCAAGTGGCAGGAGAAACAACTCAATTTTGATGACATTCAGAAATGGTGGCAATGGGGTGAGGCCTTAGCCTGTGCTCTGCAGTACAAAAGACAATGCAGTTAATGTTTGGTTTTGAGCTTCTGTGGTAGCCCACTGTTAGGATAACCAATGAATTCCCCTCCTCACAGCCACACCCTGTATAGCCTTCTGCTCCTGAGTCTAGGTTCATACTGTGACATGCTTTACCCATCAGAAAGTAGTGAAAGTACATGGTGCCCATTCTAGAAGCCCT